TATTTATACCTTCGGCCATTAACGCCTGTTCACCTTTGTTCCAGCCTCCAAGACATACAATCCTTCCTAATTCAGTGGCCGAAGTCCATGTTCTTTCAACCTTACATTAAACCGACATCCCTGCATTCATATGTCCGTGTTCTATCCACCTGAGGCTGCACCATAATCATTATCCACCGACCAAATTCGCAAACCTCTCAGCCTTCTTCCTCATAACATTCAACTCTACCTCTCCGAAGCCCCTACTACGATGGATATGGAAATCCGTGGTTACGAAAGAATCCGCGGTGGACTGGGATCGAAGCGTGTATAGAAGCAATGGGGAAGAATGGGTTTGGTCTGAATAGAGAACAAAATGCTCAAATAGAACACTCTTTATAAAAGGAGCTAACGGGGGTGGGGGCAGTTGCAACTTGACGGATTTATGTTCGCTTCATGATGCCGGGTTAAGAAAAATTTACAAAGGAGATATCATATTGAAATTTACTTGGAAGCAATGGTTTTTGTGCGCTGTATTTTTGTTATTTATATACAAGGAAGGAAAAATGAAATCCAAATTTATAGTAGTCCAACAACAATATCGGCTCTTCGCATTGGCAGGTTACTGCAGAGGATCGGAGAAAACGGGTTAGTCTCGGAGAAAAATGCCAAATTGAGAAAGTGGGGATGAATCATGAACTGAGGAAGAGGTGGGGGAAACTGGAAAAGGAAGTGCAGGTAAATTGGCGGTCGTGGTGTGGTTGAAAGGAAAAGGCAAAAAGGTCGGAGATTGTTCAGGGGGAAAGGCAGAAGGATAGGACATAGGGATTAGAAAGGATATTCAAGGCGGCAATGAGGGAGAAATGACATGCAGGTTGTAAGTATTAAAACGGCGATACCAAGATGTGGGATTTGGAACAAAAACAGAAAAGATGAGTATAACATTGAGGCTACTGAGAGCAATAAACTCCATCGTATGATTCTTGTTCGGCGGCATTGCTTAGAATCGTACGATCCGGATACAATATCCGAGGAAGGGGGATTAATTCTTTTTTAAATTTTCGGTTGAGATGGTTTGCTTAATCCTAAACTGTTAATCTCTCCTGTGTTTGTCTTCCTAACAGTGATATTTCTCTTGTCATCTCCTCTCTACCATAACACAATAAAAAAAATGCAAAAAACGGCTGCTGCTATAGTGTAGCAGCCAAAAAAAAATAGCCAAAAAAAGAAAATGATAATTTAGTGCATTTGCGCTACAGGAAAAGTAGTGCTAGTGAAAAAAACACTACCTTACAGCTACACTACCAAGTGACCCAGTGCTGATACTGGAAAATTTCATATCAAATATTGTTGTTGATACTTTATTAATTTATCTTTGATCATGAATATCCTTCAAATGTTAGTATTGAAATTGGTAACACATGTTGGTTATAAGCATATAAATTGTAAGGATATTCATCATATCTTTTGAGCTAGTTCATGAGGAAACTTGATTTTGAAATACTTGTGACATTACTGGATAATATGTACCAGAGGTTTCCCCAGAATTACCTTGTTTGGCTTTCTCAGCTTGAATATAATATTCAAAGAGCCCATACCGTGAAAATAGGGTGTCCGTGTATTACAATTTACAGGAGACCTAGAAACATATCCCCCTTCAGATAGACCCATATAGTCCCCAGTATTTTGCCATTCAATCCCTTGGTTGGCTAAGTCAAAGCATATACAACATAGCCACAGATCTCATGAGAATAAGCCCCTATTCAAATGCAGAGTTACAATCATGCAAGGCAGGCTTATCTTTCCCATGAAATTAAGACCCCTGCTGGATGCACAGCAGCTGCACATTGACTTCACAGTAACTGTTCTCATGCCCATGAGAGCATCCACCCTTGTTTAAGTAAATATTTAGGTAGCCGGCAAGTCCCGCACAGCTTGTTTGCTTAGATGATGAGAAAGATGCCCCCCGTTGCTTTCCGTAGGCTGTGCTGATCTAGCTACCAACAGCTCATCCACCCTTGTGACCAAACCTCTTGGTATGTACTTAAGTTCTTAACATACACACCACTCCTCTATGACCAGTTGGTATGTACTAGTCATAGAGGACAGTACAAACTGCCCTCACCAACTGGTAGAAACTGGTTATTGAGCAGTATCCACTCCTCCCAATTTCCAGTTCACACTGCTTGATAAGAAAAACAATCTTCCCTCAGTGACCAGTTGGACCTGGTCATTGAGGTAGTGTGTATATAGTTCCCTCAATGACCGGTATTTAGTGTTTTTTTTTTTTCAATGACTGGCCAGTGCCAGTCATTTTGCATAGAATCTCCATCTTTTGCACAGAATCTGTGTGTTGAGGAAAACTTGAAGCAAGATTTTAGTAAAAAAAGTGAATTCAAACTGAGTTTCTGGATGTCAACACTTGGGCCAGTTTCTCAAAAAAATTGGTCTCAGGTCCATTTTTGGGATTTTCACAAAAAATGACCCAAATGTGCATTTGAAATATAATTCAAAAGGTTTGAGAGAACTGTGCTTCAAAATAGAATTGAACTATGAACCAGAGCAACAGTCAAAAAAAATTAAAGGGGATATCCCTGTTGGAAAGACTTTTCATGCAGTTAACAGATCTTCATCCTTGGAAAGCATAGAAGGAAATTAAAATATTGAAAGCCACTTCAATGTTCTTTGATAAAATTAATAAGAATCTCCACATAGCATGGGGGCTATATGAATCCTGTCTGCCGTATATTTTATGCAGGAAAACCAGCTGGACAGGAGGAAGAAGAGTGGCTTAAGTTCATAACAATAGCAGACAAGGTCCAAGTACTTATTTGTCATAACATAAGTGTCAGCTGAGGATCTGTTATGATTCATAATTATCTAGTCAATATAAATAGGTTCTTAGCTAATCAACTCCCAAAAAGTGGAGGATTGACTCCCAAACTTCCAGGATGTCCTCAGGACCGTCTGCAGACCGTCCTGGGATGTCCAAATCCCCTATTTTTCTCCCCCAAAGGTTTGGGAGTTGATCCTCCAAAACTGCCGGTTTTTTTGGGAGTTGACTATTTAATAAAAATAATATAAAAAATAAAAAATAATAATAATAATAATAAAATTTTGGGGGAGCTCATATGTTCAACCACACACTTTGGGTCAGAAGCACTAGAGAGAGAGAAGGATAGATTGAAGAAGGGTGCCTCCATCAGATACTCAATGGGTGATGCTTGTCAAGAATGCATTTGGTCAGTCGATCAGCAACATCTCAAAACCGGTGGATGCTCAGACACTGGCCAAGGTGTTTCTTTACATGAGCCCACAAATGCTAGACATACTGGCCAAGCAGACCAAAAACTTATTTTCACACTATGCTAACGTGAGTCACTCTGACACATGAAAAGACCATTGAAATAAAGCCTAGCGTTTTTTTGCCGACTGATGCTGATTTTGGTGTACACAAGAACATCTAACCGAGTGTAATTTTTCAACCCCTCACATACATATAAGCAATAGAAGAAGAAATAAAAAAACTATCATTTGAGTTGAATGATTCTATTTGGATTACGTTGGATGTTAAGTTTAAGCAACCAAGAATTGACAAGTTGATGATGATTGAGATTGTTAGAACATGCCGAAGGATGGTGACTTGAATTCCAGAAATGATAGAAAGATTGGAAGTCTAGAGATAATAAATCAACGATGAATCAGTCGTCTTCTAAGCTTAGGTGATAGTAAGATTTGTGACCACTCTCCATATTAGGTTCAATCTGTTTGAGGACAAGAATACTAAGAATAGTAGCTTGTCCCATTTGGTGGTCATTGGCTTGTCTTCTTCTTCTTCTTGATGGTGAGGTGTTGTTATGATTTTCTTCAGTTTAGGCTTGATGAATTTCTGATTAAGTTGGAAGTAATTCTTGTGTAAGACAAGTTTGAAGAACATTTCCAATTTTAGTAAATTAAGATGAAGAGGGCTTGAGATGTCCAAGAAGGGCTGTTTATGAGTAGTTGAATGAGCAAAATGATCTAGGTTATGAAGAGTTTGATTGGATAGGATTTGAGAGGGGTCTGGCCTGGCTGGGGTCAGATTTGGGTCTCCAACTCCCAAACAGCCACGGGGTTTTGGAGGTTTGACTCCCAAACCCCCAAAATTTTTAATTATTTTTATTATTTTTTTTAAATAGTGTACTCCCAAAAAAACGGCGGTTTTGGAGGATCGACTCCCAAACCTTTGGGGAAAACAATATGGGGATTTGGATGTCCCAGGATGGTCCGCAGACAGTCCTGAGGACATCCTGGACGTTTGGGAGTCGATCCTCCAACCTTTGGGAGTTGATTAGCTAAGACCCTATAAATAATCAAAATACAAGTTGTATAAGCTGTGGGGGCAGAACTTGAGAACAAAATGAATGATAATTGAAAAATGAGTATCAAACAGGTGACATGTAAAGGAAATGGAAACAAAGTGAGAATAATGGCAAGTAAAATTGCAATCTCTTATCTTAGACCTTTTTAGTGAAGGAGAGGAAGGACCTAAGAATCAAAATTTTAGATCACTGGGAATATAAACAAATTGGATAAAAGTTGACCTTCTTCTTTCATATGTGTACAACAATAGCAATCTTTGAAAGAAGACCAAAAAGGTGAATTTTTCTTTGTTTTTGTTTTGTTTCAAGAGCTCAGGCAGCCTGCTTACACCTGCATGTGATCAACAATTGCAGTCAACATTATAAATAAAAGTTTTGACAACTTCTGATTTCACTGCAACAAACACAGCCCTTTCCATGAGTAGTGAACATGCTGACTGATACTGATTCATGTATGCTCCCTTCCTCAGTCAAAGCAGTGAATCTTACCCAAGAGCAGGCAATATCTAGCCATCAGAAAATGTTAATTTAGCCTTGTTTGAATTGCCATTGTTGAATGATGTTGCTTTCATATTATTCTTGATGAACACTACAAGAAAAGTTTCAAAATCTTTGAGAAAAGACAATCATTAACATGCATCAAGAGGGGTAGGAAATGCAATGAAATTACCTAGATTTTTCAATCGGACGGGCAAGTCCAAGTTACTCCAACAGAAGGTCGGCATTGCTCGTCCGGTCTCTTGTCAACCATGGTTGTCCGACCCGAGACAGCACTTGCCTGTCCGAGCAGTCAATAGGAGGGGCCAATTGGTCGGGCATGGTTCCGAGAAGAAGTCGGGCGCCCATGCGCGACATGAGGTCGGAGTCGGACGGGCAGGTCCGACAACTCATCGGACTTGTCTGTCCGGCGACCTAATTCAGGCTGTAGTGTGGACAATGCAACAACACTTCAACATCTTCTGACAGGCAAAACTGAATTTGAAGCTTGATAACTGCATCCCACAGGGGAGAACTTTCGAACTTAGTCTTATGTATCTGAGCTGATCATGAAGTTTTCGCAAAGCTGAATGCAAAATGCAACATCAGATTTTGGATATTTGAGTGGAAGGGGACGCGGTCCCGCAGGAGTTACCCACTCCGCTGGATCTACCCCCAGTGACGCGTGCGATCCTTCTACTTAACTTAACCAAGTCCGCGGGCTGTAACTTGTAAGGAAACACCGCATGTGAACCGTCGCGAGATTGAGGAAGGAGTGAAACATTATCAAGACCAACGCACGCGGAATTTCCCAATCAATCTCCCAGAATTACCCATTAGCAAGCGGATTTGGGAAGTAATCGTAAATACCGACGACCAGCACGATTCCATTGACGGCACAAAGAGTAGGACCGTTCGACGACGGTGTAGCGAAGACAAGCGGCTAGACTTTGACAACAACGTTGCATACATCAATGGACACGATCTCGTTGATACTCCTTAGGAAAAGCGAAAATTCTCTCTATACCACATCCTGCTGCAAGACCACCACAGCTCACGACCTTAGTCATATGGAAATGAACAGGGGAAGACAATATCAGTTCCCGATTTCCCCTTTACTTGAAACTCATGATATCTACCTGACCGCCTTCCTGCTGGGAAAGATGGACTCAGCGGCGTACGAACAACTCCCGATAGTAGTTCACACCTTGAAAACTGTCGAAATACAGCCAGTCCTGGAAGTTAGCGATTGTCACTCAAAAGGAGTCCCTATCTTATGCAGTTGAAAACTAGATGTGAAGCCAATATTCACGAACCCCAGAAGCCGATATACCGACCCAAAACGTAATCCAAACGTTATCTCCTGGGCTTCATGGCATTCGGGACGCAATGCAAGGTCTAAATCACGATTCAAGCCTGTTTAAAATTGCCGTCACTCGCATACTGAAGACATTGCCCCAATTTTCGCCTGCCCAAGGGAAATCATTCAACTCAGAACTTCAGCAAGCAAACCGCCAAGATACAAGAGACATTACGGACTTTAGGATTCAGAAGAAATTAGTGTTCTTGCGATACCAACTAGTTATACCAAATGATTTAATTTTAGGACCCGAAGAGGACCAAGTGTTTTTCGATTGGAGACTCCTAACGTTGGGCGGAAAGGAACGACTGGCGCACCTGATATACTTACAAGAGAACGTTCCTGTCAGTGAATTCTCATCTGATGACGAAGTAATTGGTGTTGGCCGGCGACGGACCGCACACAGGACTGTTGGACGAAAATCAAAAGAAGGTGATACGGATACAACGCACTCAATTTAGTTCAAAGCCCCCGGTTGCGCTCGGTTTTGCCAATGAGATGAGGGCTAAAGGTTGCGGCTGGAATCAACGAGCGCGCTGAGACCACGGCTCAAGGCGATAGACGCCAGCTGCTCTTAGATCGCAGATGACGGTGCCCCCCACCTCACCAAGTGACGAGTACTGCTGAAGATCGGCCGGATTTGGGTGAAGGCTTGCCGACACGATTTGTCAAGTCACTTTCGGGGTCGGGATGCAACGTCTTGCACGTACCTACAGATAATAGTTACACCCTAGGTAATCATCGTCAAGCTGTTTGATATTGTAAGACTTGAAATGACTTTTTGACCGCTTTGTTTATTCTGCAAGGCAGTCCATAGGAATTCCTTAGCCCCTTGCCGTAGGCTCCAGACTTCTGATTCCGGCGTTCAATCACTATGAACGACTCCGAGCCTGGGCTGTTTGTCGAATTTTGGGAGAATTTCACATGGAAGAAATACTTGGACCATCCGGCGCGCCATCTTGCTAAACTATTTAGCCTGTCGTATTCAGTTGCCGAGCTGACGAACAATGAGATTGCTGTTCAGTGCCAGAACGACCATATGATGCCAATGAACGCCAAAAGGTGTAAAATATGACTTTGTATTCACGTATTCTTGCATGTTTGTATCGATCAGCATCTTCATCTTCTCTTGGTGTGGCAGTTGCTTTGTATACGACACGCGATTGGACAAGCACTATCCTTGGTAGGGAATCATGTTACGAACAGTAAGTCGTTTCCGAAGTGTGATGTGAGATACAGTGAGATACAGAGTGTCAGATGATTCGGGCTTAGGTGGACTAACAACGCATCATGAATCGCTCATAGGCCCGGCGCATAGTCCCGCCAAACATGGGCCGGGTAATTCCGACTTGTGGGACAAAGCTCAAGAAATAGCTACTGAAAAGACGTCAATGGACTCCGAGAGCTTAAGGATGAATGAATGAAATCACTTTATCGAATCACATTACGGTCCTGAAACCATCGGTCTGGTTGAAGTAGATAAAACGGTTCCTACAAGTCCGTCGTCTTGAAGAGAAAAAGAGAGCTATTCAAAATCTGTTTCTCATTTCGTCAACAAATTTTATCACGACCGATGAACAATTTGACCTGTCAATCATTGCTCGAATAGTACGGTGGACGGAGGACGTAGGACTTTGGCAGATCTGTTGCAAGAACACTTCTTGGGAGTCGGTTGAACGCACAAATGATATACCAAAACTTTCGTTAGCTAGCTGGATGGAGCATAGATAAGGACTGTTTTCTATTTCATCGTCGTTAACCCGTGATTGAGTTAAGCCTGGCGGCCGCAACGTTTTTTCTAGATCAATGAAGATTGGCTCGGCGTGATGGACACTTGATAGGAATCCAAAAAAACTCCAATAAAAACACGACAGCATTCCGATCACCTATATATCCCATAGTATCAATGAAGAAAGAAATGAAAGGTCTAATGTATCATCTGACAATCATTAAGCAATGTTTTCATAATCGAAATAGACAGCTCACCTTCGAGTTAAGACCATCTATCCATCCCTCCCTGTGAGGAGTCGAGAAGAAGTCCTGGAAGATGAGGAGACTGTTGAAGAATTGGCCAGTGGAGAGAAAGTCTTTGCAGCTGAAATCTTCCGTCAGATCACTAGTCCTAATTGCTTCAAGGTAGTACCATTAGGTATTGATGAAAGGAAGACCAAATTAGCAAGTTGCCAGTCTGGCAACCCAAGCTAGACCGGCAGCTTGTAATTTGGCCTTCTCTTCATCAACACCTTTTGGTTCCACCTATGAAGAATTTGAGCCAGAGATCATGACAATCTCGTCTACAATCCAATCATTTCCAGTGGGGAGGTTCGAGGAAACGAGAAACTGATAGGGTGGTTAAAGGATACAAAGTTGGATACTTGGAGCGTGAAGAGTGAATGTACAAAAACATTATTGTAATTCATTTATACCTTTTTCCGCCGAAGTCCGCTTGTTTAGTTTTGATACCACGTAAATAGGTGTAACGCATAATATGTACCTGGGTAATCCTGCCTTTAAGGTTACCGACTCTACTAACTTCATTCCGCTGCCGCTGAGCCGCTGCCCAAGCCATTTGAACAGTTGTCAGTCGAGACTCCAGAGTCTAGAACTCTCCAGAGAGCTCCAGAGAGCTCCAGAGACTTCACCAAAAACCATATTGTTTACGTCAATGTGTTCAAACCTTGAGCACGTGCTCCCGGGTTCAACCTAATGCAGATTCCAGTAGATTCCAGTCTCATCAGAAGAAGAGGGGCCCTACATAAAGCTTACCAAAGTCACCGCATCTCCTCTGCATATTCTATACTTTGGGATTCCAGGCAGGGACCACACACCGTCTCACAGTGCCTCGTCAAGACGCCGCATGGCTGAAAAATGGAAAAGTAGAAACAGTGCGAAAGAATGATTCAGGAGAGTTTTGAATCTCCGGAAGGTCGACGTCAACTCAAAGGCGAAAGATCCGAAGCAAAAGAAAAAACCTGATCAAAATGTTGCCGCTGTAGTGTTCTTGAGCAGCCGCCTCCGGTAGAGGCTTTCTGAAGTTTACGTTCAACCCCATGGATCTGCTTGTGGAGACAGGTCTATGCTCAATAATGCGTAATATCAACGCTGACTATGTACCGCCTCCTTTTATGTACCAATTAATACCGGACTACCGTCATCTCGAAGCCCCATTCTTGGAGAGAGCACAATAATCCAATCGTCTCGGGCGCATTTCCGGGTCACTTCTACCAAGGCAATCCAATGAATTAGATTGGTGCATCTTGTGCAGAGGAGTGAGGTCCACATCCATGGGCAATCAGGATTATTCCGGGGCAATCAAGTTCAACCGTGGTCGAGCAAACTTACTGAACGTAGTGGCACCTTCAACGTGTGTTTACATACTCCCGGCTTCTGCCTTGCCATTCCAAAGCTACAATCGCGACTTCGAAACAGCAAACTCTTTCGATGTTTTGAGCGCATTTCCGTGTTAAGCACCCTAGCCAATTTGATGAATGTCGCGGACGAAGCTTGTCAAGAAGAGACACGTCTATAATGCGTTATTTAACGTGATAATGTGGTGCACTGGTGAATGACGCGTTAAAAACCCTTTAGACAAAGTCCTTGGTGTCCCGTGTTCAACTTACTCACAACTCCTAGGATAACCCATCACGTTCATCGTGGTGGAGCATCTGGAGGGTCATGGGACAAGAAGTACCGCTAGTAGGGGAGTTCATATGCTGCTAATCCTCAAAATTGAAGTTAGTTAAAATCGACCTTTGTTGATTCCATTATAAAATGTTGAATTTTGCAGGGAAGCTCACAATAGGATGCAACAATCACACCCTTCAATTCAACACAAGAGCTTGTACAATCAGTAAACTTGTCAAAATCAGAAGCACAATTAGCAGTTATGCACTATTATTGAAGGACTTCCTGTCTATTTCACAGCCCCCTGTAAAGCTATTTTTACAGGCTGTAAAATGGTTTTCCCAGCAAAACATTGGAGGACTTCCTGTTGTGATTTAGAGTGCTTTTTAAGCCCTCCCCAGTTCTGAATTAACACCCCAATCATAATTCCAATGTGCTCACATGAGAGCTATTTCTACAAGGCTTGTGAAAAAAGAATTTCTTAATAAGGCCCTGTTTGGCAGCATCATCAATGTAGGTGTAATATTGCTTGATTAATTCAACAAAAAATAAACCAATGGGGAACATGTAATAATATTATTACTTGGGAAAGTTCAACTACTGGTTTCATTAATGTTGTGAAAAAAATTTATATCTCGGGCCATCTTGAGCTCCATAATATCAATATTACACTTTATATGGGTAAAAAGTGTAATATTGGTATTATGGTGCTGAAGGTAGTCCATTACTTCAACTTTTTTCATACCAACCTTGAAATCAGTAGTTGACCTTGCCTCAGTAAAAATTTTGTTATATATTATTGAGTGGTTTATTTTTTATTGAATTAATAAGGCAATATTACACTTAAATTTATGACGCTGCCAAACAGGGCCTAAAAACCAAAAATTAAGATCTAGCGGGTATAAATTAAAATCCGGGAGGGTTGTAAAGCTCAACAGGAAGTCATCCATTAGTTTTACAGTCTGGAAATCTAGCTTTACAAGGCCTGTAAAACCAATAGGAAAACAGCCATCATTCGGTCAACTCATGGCAGTCTATTATTCCTGTAAATTTGGATTTGGGACTACACAATAGATGTCACTGGATTTGCCTTCAACTTTGGGGGGTTTGATGTGAGTTGAGAGTTGACCAACTTTAGGCTTTCCCCAGCAACAACATTAGGGGGCATCAAATATAACCAAATCCACCATTATTTAATTGACTGGTTTTAAAAAATCCACCCTTTTTCAAACATGTTGGTTCTTCAATTAACCCCTTTTGGGGCCCATTGATGCAAAAAAAAGTTTTGGGAAAGGTGACTGGTTTCTAATGGTGAATTTCCTATATTTGATACCCCCTATTAGAAGCTGAATGAGAATCCATGACAAAAGCAGTGTAGTTTGACACCAGTGTAAATTTTCATGGTGATTTGCTTGTCTCTCTGAGACTATTCATTCAATTATTATTAAATACATGTCCTTGTAAAGTGTGGCTTGGTATGGTTTTTTCTACAGGCATTTTGGATCCATAAATCAGTAGATGAAATAGGCTCAAGAGCTACTGATCCTGGTACCTCTCGGACATCACAAAAAACATCTCTTTTGTTAGTCTGAAAGACAATGAAGGAATATGAATTAACCCTGCATTATTTTGAAATAATTCAATCAAACCAGAATTGGGAATTGATCCAGGCCGAATGTGTTCTAAATAGAGATGGGCGCGGCGCATCCGGATATCCGCTCACCATTTCAGCGGAATCAAACATCCGCATCCGCAGGCGGATACCCGCCTTTTAAGGGGGACAGATGTTTTCTTTTTTTTCAAAAAAAAAGAAAAAAAAAAGTGAGAGGCCAGCTTGACTCAAATCATCTTCATTATATAGAATGTCGACCTCCCTTCAGCCGGTGATGAGCCAACAGAACCCAGTCAGATTGAATATCTGACCTTCCAAGATGAACTCGAACTGGTGACCTTCTACCTCTCCAAGATCTCTCAACTCTGTCGGGCTTCGATCTTCAACTTCTCCGAGACCGTCAAGGCCACCGCAATGAGCTACTTGTCAAGACCCGTTCTCTTGAAACTGAATAATTGTACAACTTCCCGTGGTTCCATTCCCAAATCCATTGTGCACTTTTCTTGTATTGTAACTTGTATTCCCCCCCCCCCCCCTTGTCTTTTTTTCTAAGAAAGAAAAACTGATCTCGATCCTTGAACTTCAACTAAAGAAAGAACCTTGGACTCAAAAAACAGATATGTTCTTGCCGGATCATCCCTCTCTCCTGATTATTATATCAACCCCATTCTTCTCATGTTCGAACCTGATAGCAACAAACGTCCCTTTTTTGGGGGTCCTTGTCACACAAGGAAAAACAGGTATGAATCTGGTCAGCTTGTGCGAGGTAATCTTTTGGGTGTGTCTTTTGGGGGTTGTGGTTGGGCATGGGTTTATATTTGTGTTTGGACTCTGCGAGCTGTACTTGGTAACTTGGCTTTGCTTCTCACTTGTAAAGTTGTTGATGATAACTTCAAGTTTAATGATCTAAATTACAAACAAAGCGGGGGAAAAATAGGACAGAAAAAGATCCGCTTGGTGATTTTGGTTTCAAATGCGGAAACGTAACAGAGACTAGGAGATGGTTTGATCATGGGGTGAAATTTAAGTATGTGAAGAGTTCCTGGTTTGGTGGTGGGGGTAAGTTGAGGATCATGGGGATAGCTGGTGAATGCCAAAAAAAGACAGTATGAACAGGGATATTGTAAGAAGCCCAGAAGATCTGAAAAAAAGACAAAGAAGAGAAAGCAGAGATGCACAAGTAAGAGAGCAAGAGATTTGAAGATGAGAGATAGATTTCAGGCGATGAGCTATGTGGTCAGGAGTCTTTCTTCTTCTTCTTCTGCAGGTCGGTAATGATATTGTTGTTCTGCTTGTCGTCGGGTTCAGAGAGGGCGGCGAAGATGTGGCCAATGAGGATGAAGTTAGTGACAACAATTGCCGAGATGGCAGCTGCTGTGGTGTTTGTCTCTGCGTGATTGGTCAACGTTCCAAGTCTTTCTCAAAAAAAAAACCATCCCCACTTTTTTGATTTATTGGAGAAATTGCTGACTGTCAAAGACGTGTCCTAAGGTGCCGAAATAGGTCCCGATTGAGCTCGGTGGGAGGGGTTTCTCCCGGCGGTGTTGCCTCTCTTGGCACCGGGTATCCCTTGGGATACCCGGATATCCGCCAGGTTTGGGCAGAAAAACAGACATCCGCAGCCGAATCCGCACCCGCTGGCGGGTATCCGCTGGCTCTGGTGGGTATCCGCCAGCGGATAGCGGATATCCGCGACCATCTCTAGTTCTAAATATGCTTCTATCAGCTGCTAGGAATCACTACCAGCATAATTGGATGGGTTGAAGTTATCCCAGTCAAACTGGGATGCATTCAATCAATTTAAAACGTGTTGATTTCAGCTAATGAAATATTAATCCAAGGACCTTTGGTTTACATTTAATTGGCTGGCATCAACCCATTGTGAGTTGGTTGTGTGCATCCCACTGTGACTGGGATAATCTCAACCTAGCCAATTATACTGACAGTGAATGTGCAGAAAAACCTTCAATTGGAAAGGTTGACAAATACATGTTATATTTCAGGGATCCAAGCACCCAAGAGGCTGTCAATTTCTTCAGGGCTTCCACCACAATTAAGTGGTGAACCTGCACTGATGATTGGATGAGTGAGGGAGAGCAAGGGCTATTTGTACTTGAAAGGGTTGCAATTGTTGAGGTTTCTGGGTGGTTTCACGCATCCCAAAGTGGTCCCAAGTGAGGTACAGAGGTGGTAGATCTATGTACCCCCTTGGTACATTTTTTGGACACAAAATGTTGTTAACCACCCTGTATAGCACCTGCAGTTTCGGGGTGTTTTGGGAGTCAAGGTGGTAAATGGGGCTTACCAACCCTATTTACCACCTGTGGTGGAGTTGCTCTTACCTATTTCAAATTACAGATTTTTTTACCAGTCTTCAATGTAGGTTCTGAAGATACATATTCAGCTCTGGAGTTGACTGGAAACAATGCTGCAAAAAATACAATACACACTTTTTATCATGAGGAATTTTACCAACATATATGGCTAAAGGCCACATTGATTGTATGCCACTCTCCATAGAATCACATTGGTCATGAAAAAAGCTGCATAAATTGCATATACAATATATGTTGCAGTGTTGCTGGAAGGTATGAACTAAAGATTCTAATTGATCAGCCTTGGGTTGCCTATGTGCCTGCCCAGAGAAAGGACCTTCCCTCTGAGAAGGTTGGCCGGTCTGGGCCAATTTCACCCAAAGTGCTTACTGGCCCAAATATGTTTATTAAATGGGAAGCATGTGGGCTTCTGCAATGTGCATCAACTATATAAATGGAGTCCAATTTCTTGTATGATTAACACTGCTACTAAAATCCCTATTTGCTGCAGTTTGAAAGCAACGCTGCAACAGTTTCCAGTGTTGATGATTTAAATTCTGAATTTCCAAAGTTATTTAGTGACAGCAACACTTTGGTGGTGTCTGGTGTTGAAATTTTAAATTCCCATTTGCTGGGGGTTACTTGTTGCAAGCAACAGTTTATGGCATTGATGTTGGCAATTTTGATTCACCCAAGGTAGCTAGAGCTAGTCAGTGAGACCTGCCTCCAACTCTTGGAGTTTTCAAGACTTCAGTCTCCAGCCTCCCAGCCCCCTGCTCCCCAGGTCACCTTGTCCATCAAATCTTCATAGGCAGTTTGCCAGACCCTACTCCTGCCCATAAGTGTTTCTCTGCTTGTTCATCATTGAATCTTACAATAGACATGTTCACAAGCCTTTGTATAGCTTCTCAGCTGTAATTTTCAAGTGTACACAATCCTAGGTTAGGTGAATATCCATGTGGATAAAACTGCATGTTGCAGTATTCAGCTGCCTGGTATTTCATTGGAATGAGAGCTCTTCTAATTTGCTCCCTTATAGATTTCAAAACTCTATGGAAATCTATTGAGCTTTTGGGAAAAAAACAATGGATAACATCACAATTTTGAGCAGGATACTAACAGATTGATTGAAATTCAACTGAGAGAAGATACAAAGGGTGATGAGACCTTTGAAGATTGGGTTACCAACTTCTTCTGTCAACTGGCATCAAAGAAGGGGGACTCACCCCAAGACACTAAACAATTTCTGCTTTGAGTGGTGTAACCTCTAGAGTGTGATTTTTTGCTCATGGGAAAACAAATCTTGACGTGATTGAAGCATTGAGAAAGCTCTGCATGTAGTAAAAAATGATGTTTGTCCAGGAGACTGAAAAATGTTGGGTAAAACTACCTCTTTCAGTCCACAAGTGCAACATCAAGGGCAGCAAGGCCTTGCAAATCATTATCAGTCAACATATGAGTCTTTGCTGGTCAAAATTGCCAAACAATCATTAGTTTATTCAAAACACACTGCATTCATGTCCTAAGATGGGGCATTCATCTTTTTTTAGTTGGTTCATGGAGCTTGTATTCCAAGTCTCCCTTAAACATTACATCACTCAAATCATCCAAGCAAGGCTGCATTGCTCTTGAGATTCAGATACATCAAGACCAGGCCAACATGTTCACTCTAATCATCAAACATCAAGTAATCATTATGGACCCCAGGAAAAAACAATGAACACTTGATGACAAGTGACATCAAGGTAACCCCAGTGTATGTACTACCCATTACATATCCAGCTCAACTCTGTCTCAGCCCCCTGTAGCATACAAAGGGGCCATTGTAGTTGGGTCACAACAGAGTTGGGGCTACTTTGCAGCAGCAATCAATGTTGCATGATGTCACTTGATATCTAGTGAGCATAGATTTTTCCTGGTGGGAGTAGCTGGTATATCACTACAAGTCCAATGGTAAATGTTTCCCCAATTTTTCTTCACTAACAAGAGAGATTGATATATGGATCAAGAATTGGATGTGCAATATGTAAAGTAAAACATCTTCAGCAGAATTGAAAAGTAAATCAATGAAGGATTGTGAGTTATTGGTTGTCTCAAATGGGTCCCAGGAAGAAAATGTAATCCCAAAGTCTACATGGTCATTGATGGTATGTTACATCCAAAAACATGATAACACCCTCAAACCCTAGCAAAAAAATCATTTACAAATTTTATGCTCTTATTTTCATACTTTGTTTTGCTTGCTTGAATTCATGCAAGTTGATCAAGGCAGTTGTGATGTCATTTGTGACGATGAATTCTACAGAGAACGTGAAAAAAAAACAATAGGTTGATTATAGTGACATCTATGAGTTACTGAAGGAGCTCAAAGAGTACACAGTTGTCCAAGAGTCAGTATTTGACATGACAATGTATTGATGGCTGTTTGAGGCGTCAATCAATAAAACTTTTTGCGATTGAGGAGGACGCCCTTGAGGTTCCTGATCTGATTTTTGAATTCCATGAGGGCGATAAAGTAGGGGTCTTCGTCGACGTTCTTGGGTGGTGGAGCGTCAGGGTAACGGGTAGCGTTGAAGGAGGCGGTCCAATGGTTGAGCCCGAAGGCCCGATGAGGGTGGGAGGAGGCCGAGAGCTTCTGGTGAACCCTAGTGTTCAGTTGGGCTTCGTCGGCAAGCTCGGCCCCCATCGATTTCAGACTCTTCGTCAGACTCTCGATCCCTCCCAGACTCCTCTCCGTTCCTGCCCTCGACTCATCCATCTGCTCATCATCCGACTCTTCAATCTGGACTGGTCTACGATTATCGGATCTCTTGCGTAAACCTTGGGCAATCTTCTCTAGGTAGTCGATAACCGGCTGATTGAATTCTTCTCGATCTGATGATGGTTTATGGGGCTCATTTTGAAGTTCTTTTTCGTCCAATATCGATGATGATGATGTTGATGATGATGATGAGGGGACGATATCGGGGACCTGAGTTTTTTCATCTGTTGTGCTTGAGCCTTCAGATACTTGAATTTGATCGCTCGCCTTTCCTGCGTCATCCAGCCCATCCCCGGTCTTAGCATCGCTCGAGGTAGATAATACTTGGTCGACTTTTCCCGAGAGTTTTGCGAGGGTGGATTGATATAGTCTAGGGTTTGACTGGATTAAACTCTTCAAGCTTTGGTGGAGTTTGTCGTACGATTTCAGAGTCGAGAGTCGCAATGATTTCAATATTTCTGTCCGGATTCGCAACTTTGGGAAGATGTACTTCTGATAGGGGGGGAAATGGTCAAGAAGGGGAAAAATAGATGAGTGTGGTGTATAATCTCGAGAGGGGTTGATAGACGAGACGGGGACACGCAACTTGATAGAACCACACGATAAGGCCTGCCAGAGTTCCGCCGAAGAAGATGAAGTTGGAGAGCGAGAATAAGAACCTGATCAGGATCTTATTTGACTGCTTCGAATGGTTGGTGGTGGTGATAATCGATGGATAACTCTGGATGGCAGTCTTTGGGGGTAGTTCGGGTGGTGATGAAGTAGCTGACTGATGCTGATCCAGTTCTTGTTTGCCCGTCGATGGCTTTGAGTTTTCTCCTTCCTCGATCTCCTTCCCCATATTTTCTGATTGTATCTCGCTGGTTTCAGTACCAAGTCGAATGTCGATGTGGCCAAGTTCGTTCTAGTTGGAAATCGGCTGAGCTCACTCCTCAAACTCCAAGTCCATGTTTGACATCCCTATAGGGGCACACAAGTAAAGAACCCCTTCAATCTCATCAAGTATAAACTTTATGAAGTTTAACGAGTGAAACTACTACACTTGTTTACGAGATGGTGGACTATAATCTGTCAGCACCGTGGCACCGAGTCTCCGGTGTCCGCGGATATCTCAGTTCTCCGGATCGCAGCTCACCACTGTTATGTCGGATTACACAATGACCTGCTTGATTGATTTCGTGCCTACAGAATCCCAACTCCGATCTGAACACCCAACGCAGTGCAGCCAGCTACAGAGGACGCCTGGGGACCCCACAATAACCCATTCACAGAATCATCAACTGCGATTTGAAAAACACACCCTCACAAGAGGGTGATATACCTAGTTAATTTCAACACGCAATTTGATCTTCCAAAAAAAAGCAAGCCGTGGACGAGGGAGAAAAATGGGAAAGGAGGAAAAACAACTGCCAGAGTCATCTGATTTCTATAGGGTTTTGGAGAAAAATATGAGATAAATGTATGTGGATATGAGAAATAAGACCAGCAAGCGAGCGAATATAGAAAAGGAAATATCACCCGAGAGTAGTGAAGATAGTATGTGTATATACATAGCATAAGAGGGGCGGTTGAAGGGGTTCTGGAGAGAAGGCGCCCAGGAAGAGCCCGGGCAGCTGGAACTGGGAAGAAAGGACAACTAGCCGGACATCTTTCCCTTGCCCGAGGGAATGGGGTTGTTACCAAATGAGGACTGATTGTCAGGAGACATGTCAGGACTTCCCGCGACCTTCTGCTTGTTGGTCAGAGACGAGTCCGAACCGGCAGCTTTGTCTTTGGGAGGCTGCTTGTCTGAAGACGAGCCCGTGTTTCCGGCCTTCTCCTTCTTGGGAGTGTCCTGGGATCCGTCGGAGCCATCCTTCCCCTTCTTGCCATTCTAGAAAGATTGAAGGAAATATCAGTGATTGAGTAAAATATAGTGGTAGTCAGTATCTGTAAAGAGATACTGACTGATTCGAGTTTCTTGAGTTTGGCCTCTTCCTTCTGGAGAGTCTTCTTCAACTCAGCAATCTTTGCCTTTTGTTTAGTGATCTTCTGTAGGCGTTCCTGTTCCTTTTCCTCTGGGGTCTTTTTAGGCTTGTCTGTCTGAGGAGCTTTGCCGCCGTTATTCAAGGGCGGGCTATTGGATACGTCTGCGGATGATGGGGTGGACGGAGTAGTTGGTGGGGTGGATGGATCGACCGGATTGTTGCCCGTGGGGTCGTCCAGAGGTGAAGAGGCACCTGCGTTCTTGTCCGCCTTGGTCGAGCCTTTGGTCTTTGGCGCAACGCCTGGTGTCCCGGACGAAGTGGATTTTCCTGGGCTTTTGGGCGTCTTGCTCGGGGGCTTGGGATCAGTGGTCGGCAAGGATGTGTCGGTACCGCCACCCGGTAAACCGGCTTGTCTTCTAAATAATAACCTTCGGCTCTGTGTCAAAAGAACAAACAGCGTGAAGCAATGATGAGTTTAGTTGACTCCTCACTAGATCTGTCAAAGACATTGGCTATCAGTATCTGAGACTGACCTGCATCCTTCCAACAGGTCTAACTTCGTCTGCGATCTTGTCATCATCAAAATGGTCAAGACCGAAGCCCATTGCGGACGCAGAGACGAGAAGAAGAACCAGCAGTTGGACTTTTTGGACTGGCATGGCGGTCGACGTGGGCGTGGTAAGTGAGAAGAAGGTGGGATCAAAAGCAAACAATCAATGTTTCTCTTTGAAGAAAACTCAGGCTAAGCTGAGGGCTGATTGGACGATAAATCGGAAGAAAGCTCTATGGGAGTGTAAGAGTAAAGCGGTGAAGAAAGAACCCAGTTCCTGTGAAGTTTGTGGTGGAGGATAAAGAAAATCTCAAGGCAATCATGTGGGCCTTTTTATACGCCTGAGAGGACGGGTGGAGAAAGCCCACACCAATTCAGTGCAGGTTCTCATCCTGAACATACTGCAGCAGTTAGCCTTCGTGATAGGATGTTGTCAGAGCTACCCTACCAGCCGATGACAAAAAAGGGATAAGTCTATCCTGGATCCTGTGAGACCACATCAGGGTACAATGTTTCATCTGCAGTAGCTTTCTTTTCGCCAGCACAACCTCATGCTAAATATTAAATGTATCCCCTTGCCGGTTACTTTACAGCTCCCAGGGACTGTGCATCAGGATTCATCATCCGACCCCTCCCAAGATTTGTGAGAGACAGGTGTGCGCGAGCATCATGACGAACTGGTCCAAAGTGCGCAAGGAGAACCAGTGTTGTAGCACGAACCAGATATTTACCAAATGACCCTACAACTTACAACAATAACAAAAAGAAGCGCATGGGTGTGGCCACGGCGCTATCCTAGATGGAGACCTTTGGAGACCGTTGGTTTGGTAGAGCAGACCCCAACAAAGCAGGGAAACCCTGAACACCATGGATGAACCATGTTAACTTGCATAGGCCGATGGATGGAAGATGTTACTTGACTTTGAAATATTCAGTAGAACTTCCTACCTCCAAAGGATTTTCCAAGCCTTGTTTTCGTTTATACCAAGAAAAGAATTAGGTTCTGATTCAAAGGATTTTGTAAGGTCTCTGAAGTTTTGAAAATTCAGTGGAAATTCAATACATTTATCTTCAATTATCATCATGCTCACCAAGTGAAGATGGTCCTGGGATGAACTGTTTGAACAGATTGCTTGTTTGAAGAAATCCGTGGCTCCACATCTCATCAAATTAGATTTGAAAAGCTGGCCCCCACTGTGTCTGCTGGTGCCCAGAGTCTTTGACCCATGCAATCACATGGGCTGGCCTCAGAGTCCAAGTGTACCAGCTTCGCTGGTGTTGGGGAGCTATTCTTTCTCTTCAATTGTTTGCCCAATTTTATTGTGTTTTTTTCTGAAGTCATAGCAATTCTTATTGCTTGTTGTTGTAAGGAGAAAAACCCACTTTCTCTACTTTGCCCTTTTGTGAGGGGAGCCCTAATTTTTTTTTTGGTAAATCACTGACTTGAATCTACTTGGATAAAACTGAGTATTAACTATATTGAATGTAAGATAAATAAATCAATCTCCTGGGATTCAAATTGGTTGACCTCATCCAAAATCAGATTCAGGATCAATACTATTGATAATCTTGCATAAATTAGATCATTTAATCAAAAGATTAGAAGATTGGCTTGTCATTTAAAGCTTATTGGAAGAAGATGAATCAATCAAAGACTGTGGAGAATAGAACCCCTAATATTGTAAACATGCCGGGGGTGCTCATCAGTTGTGATCTGAAGGAAACATATTGGGGGATTAAATTTTCCTTGGAATCATTTTCACATTCTTCCCTGCTTCCACCTTTTGTATGTTGATACATAAATTACAGAGAAAAGTTTAGAGAGAAATGATGAAATGAAACAAGACGGATGACAAAATTAGGGCTTAGCTTAAAATTTTGTAAACAAGGTTGAATGTTTTGTGACATGTGGGCTATCTTTTTGTATTGATACATGGCTCATAGAAGTCTTTGAGAATTTGAATCTAATTAATCATCATTTAATATGCATGGCAATGGCCTTGAAAGACTTCTTTAGACCAAAAATTTCTGAAAGTAGCTAAATGTGTGACAAGGTAGCTAGGACAAAATGATAGCCCATTTTTTCAATCTCATAGCATCACTCAAAATCCAAATCAGATCAGCAGCGGTGGGCCGCTACGCTACACTACGCTACAGGCCCATGTAGCGTTAGCGTAGCGGCGCCATTTTTTTTTTTTTCGCGTAGTGTTAGCGCGCCGCTACGGCCGCTGCGCTACGCTAATTTGTAGCGGCGCTAACACTCGCCAATTTTTGGTGTAGTGTTAGCGCGCCTCTGGCGCCGCTACGCTGCGTTACGCTACGCTACAGCGTTTTTAGCGGCAAAAAACCCCTAAAAACTGCTGTAGCGCAGCGTAGCGGGCGGTTTTT